ATCAATATCAATCAATATGAAATCTAAAAAAGTACTCACCGAAAGACATATTTGCTAAATATTATAATATTATGAAATATGTTCGTGCTTTATTGCCATTAGTGTTATTTCGGCTGGAAACTGCAGTAAATTGCATGTATAGGTACACTTTTTGGAGTTTTGCATGATAAAAAAAAAGTATGTCTTTCCAATGAGCTTATGTTGGGGAAATCCTTGTTTGTTTTGGAAAAAAACCCTGGCTATAGATGGATGGTCACACTATACATGATTCTGTTGTTTCTTCATACATCTTTGCTAGAATGAAAATCAGCTAAAATGCTCATTCTATGTCACTGGATTTGTGCTATGTGCATTATGATGATTGATAGTAAGAATTGAATTAGTAAAGTAGATTTTTTTTTTCATCTTTTTACAGCACCATATTTAATATGCAGTGTATTTGTTGATAAGCTTTGTAATCAATAACAACAGCACACAGAGAAATCCTTCAGTTAATTAACTATGCATGAAATACACATCCTGTGTGTATTAAGTGCCATAAACCCATCACCTCCAACTGACCACCACCATCACATCAAAATTATGACATTAGTGGGATGCATGTCTGTATTCAAATCCTGCTCTCAAGATTTAAAAACACTCCAAACATTTATATTTAATGTGTCGACAAGGTCAGGACGAACCAATAGTCGATGTTCAATCATTATGAGATTTGAATTTAAAGAGCTTTGGCCTCCCGGGTGACAGAGCATGGAGTCAGCGGTGTGGTTAAGCCCCGGGCTCAGGAGGGCCCGTAGGCCTGTTTAACTCTCAGGACCATGATTAATTCATAGTGGATTATGTGCTGGGTGCAGCAGGGGCACCGCTGGGCTCCTTCACACTAAAACCACACACTGCAATGAGATAAAGGCTTTTCCCCCAGATAGCAGGCTCAATTTGATGCCCGTCTTCCTTGCCTCCATACCTGTGAAGAATTCCCCCCACATACGCTCCCCACTGAGAGTCAAATCACTGAATCTCATCTAACTCTTTTGTTTTTCCCAGACTATGAATTGAGATATGAAATGAGATGAGTTCAGCGATGAGTTAGTCTCTGTTGAACTTGTGTCTCCATATATCTATTGTCGCAGGTGACAAGGTGATGCTCTGCATGTCTAATGCCATCTTTTAAGATTTTTCACGTTTCTTGGATTCCATACAATGAATACTTGTATGACACAAAAATACTGTCAACTTGTGATATAGTCAGTCAAATAGGTGCTATAAAAATTTATATTAATGTTCTAAAATACAAACAAAACAAAACTTTTGACGAAGCAGCCCAATTATGACTTAAAAAAAAATAAAAAAAATAATATATATATATATATATATATATATATATCATAAAAAATAATAATAATAGTAAAATAAAATAAATATTAATAATAAAAAATACAAATATTTTTGTTTCTTTTGGAGTATGAAAATGAAGAGATAAGAGCAGCAGAAAAGTCATCAGTTTAAATATTCTCAGCTTGTGACTACATGACCTTTAAAGGGATACTCCACCCCAAAATGAAAATGTTGTCATTGATCACTTACCCCCATGTCGTTCCAAACCCATAAAAGCTTCGTTCGTCTTCGGAACACAATTTAACGTGAAAACCAGGAGGCTTATGACTGTCCCAATTGCCTGCCAAGTAAATTACACTGTCAAAGTCCAAAAAAGTATGAAAGACATCGTCAGAATAGTCCATCTGCCATCAATGGTTCAACCGTAACGTTATGAAGCGACGAGAATACTTTTTGTACGCGAAGAAAAAAAAAATAACGACTTTATTCAACAAATCGTCTCCTCTGTGTCTCTCCGCATCACCGTAACTTACTTGGCAGTCAATGGGACAGTCACAAGCTTCCCGGTTTTCATCCAAAATATCTTAAATTGTGTTCCGAAGACGAACAAAGCTTTTACGGGTTTGGAACGACATGGGGGTAAGTGATTAATGACAACATTTTCATTTTGGGGTGGAGTAACCCTTTAACGCTGAAAGGTTTAGCACTGAAAGCAAACCTCACACTCATCAGCAAGGACATGTCATTTCCATTCACAGTATACTGTATCTCAAAGTGGAAAAGGTACAACATAATCACATAAAAAAAAAAAATGATTTAGCCGATCATTAGATCGCTGAGTAAATTATGCTATGTGAATATTATCAAATGCTGTATCATGAAAGGACATCACAAGAGTTTTTCCCATATAGCAAGCAAGACAACCTTGTGAGGGTTATGTGGTATCCTCTACCATGTCAAGTTCATCCTGAGAGATGCTAATGTTTCACAGTGCTATTCTCAGCTAGACTGCCACACTCGGAAATATTCTTCAGAAGCCATATTTCTCAGAAACCAGCCTCCAAATACTAAAATGAGCATCTCAAGACATGGAAACTCCCCTTGCGCTTGTATTTAGATGCTCAGCTAGTCCAAGGAAAATCACCTATCATCTGAATTTCATATTTTCTAATTTTATTAAAAACTCACAAATTTGTTCAACATGTTGTATTTATACAGTGAATGGTCTAATATGCACTGGAGGTCACGTAAGCTTAGGTTTATTAGAACAATAAAAGACATACCATGAGAATTTGATATTTAAAGAAAGTAGCAGCTGCTTGCTGCACATTTGACCATCAATTTCAATAGATTTGGATTTTCCTTTAAAGACACAAAAATAAAACTTGTAGGTCTAAGTATGTTATATTAACAATTTATGATTTTTTTTTCAGCAGACTAAAAAAATTAAGAAGTCAATACTTCTCATTGTTTTTTAAACACACTTTGTTTCAACACGTTCTGCAGATAATGGTGCAAAGCACTTTTACAGTATTTGTGCTATGTTTTTATTTGGCAACTGTCTACTTGATTTTTTTTTTCTTTTTTCCAGGTTTTTTTGTAAACAACATTTTGTACAAACTAGCACAGTGAACCACAACCCCAGCAAACTTGTTTTCATCATACAATATAAATAAAATCAATACAAAAGTTTGGTTGGTTGCTTGGAACATTTTTTTCTGGATCAAGAGGATCTAAATCATGGTTGATACTTTTAACTCCTGAATTAAATATTTTACGTAAACAGTTGACTGTTCTATGTCTCTTTCAGACCCTTGTTAAAATAATTTTAGAAGGTAGACTTCATTTATCAACATTTCAAGTTCTCTTCCATTAAATAAAGGGTTCACCATCCATACGCATTTTAACATTTTGCCTTTTGAAGGCTAACTTCTTCAGATTTGGTGGAATTCTTGGGGGAAAAAAAACAAGATATGTCCAGAACGAGAAAAAAAGCTTTTTCTCCCTGGCCTTCAGAAACATATTTAGTGTCGAAAAGGATGTTTAAGTGTCAGTATGGCAGAGCCTTGAAAGGCAAGGAGGTCTGAGGAGTTTTCAAATAAATAAATTAGTCTGACGGCTTAGATCTTTCCTGGAGTCAACATTGCAGGTTAGCGTTAGATCAGCCGCCTTGGGTGTTTCTCTGTAAAGCTGACAAGTCTTTGACGGTAGCTGACGCTGTTAATGTGTCGCAATCGCTGTTTTTAGAGCGGCGGTTTAACTGGTGGTACGCATTGAGCTTCTGGAGGGACGCTGCTACTCTGGGCCTTGTAGCTCATAGAGTTCATACAGCACCCGGGTCAACAGTATCAATTCTTTCTCTTCTTGAGTTCGGACTTGGGATAAAGAAAGAAAGAAGGAAATGGAACATCAACACAACAAGTTGAAGAAGGGAAATGTCAATGCCCATGCTGCCCTCTGCTGCTGTCTCTGTGAGCTGTCCAACCACATTTATGACATGGAAAAACGGTGGGGAAAAGACAAAAATGATAACCAGAATGTGCGGCCAGTGTCCCTGTTCCCACCTTCCCTCCTCTGCTGAAATGTCCGTTCACAGAAGCTACCAGACCGTGCCCTCGTTCATTTCTGACGGAGGGTGGGAGAGGTGGTTGCTGTATCCGCTGCCGTTGAGGGAGAGGGATGTAAAGGACGGACTGGGTCCAAAAACATCTGAGGACATACTGTGCAGGGGTCCAGGTATCCCTGGCTCTGGACTGGGCGAGTCCCCTGGGTGGTGAGACATGATGTCTGAAAAGCGTTGTACTTCACTGGATGGATGGTGGCCGGGGATAGGATGGTCCATGACCCCTAGTGGGGTACCGGTGGGTCCTGACGATGGAACAAAAGCGAGATCTACAGGAGTCTGAGCCTGCGAAGATGGGGGGCCTTGTGGAAAGAAGTCGTAATTCCCTCCTGGACCGTAGTACTCGCTCTGATAATCTGCAGATACACAAAGAATACAAGAATTTTGGTTTAGATTTAGAAACAAAGAGCAGGAGACAACTCCTTGTTTAAAAATCCATTCTTTGGAACAAATCTCAATATGCCACATTAGTCACAGAACATGTTACACTGAAATCACAAATGTAGTTGGGTGGAGAACAAAGCTTTGCTAATTACAGCAAGGAAGTCTTTGAACAGGTGAATACCTAAACAAAGCTGTTATTGATATGATAGTGTATATATAACAATAACTGCCTTGTTTTATGGATATGGAGTATAGGGGAATATAGGGGAAATGGCATTTGTACTTAAGCTAATGTTTTTTGAGGGAAAGTTTATTTTTGACAGTCAGTTTTATACTGTGGTTTTTATTATTGACATGTGTTTACCCAACAGCTACAGCAGGAATATGTAATATTGGGATTTTAATTGGATTAACCAAATTCACACAAAAAATGAAATTTATACTAATTTGAGGTTTGTAGACTAGTTTTTGAAATCAACATTTGTATACACTGATCTTTATCTAAAAATACAGATGTGTGTAATAGAACTTTTGATTCAAGATACAGTCCCTGTCTGACACTAGACTTTTATTCAGTCTAGTTTAGTTATATTTCACTTCTAGTTTAGTTATATTTCACTTTATATGTTATATATATTTTACGTAAACAGTTGACTGTTCTATGTCTCTTTCAGACCCTTGTTAAAATAATTTTAGAAGGTAGACTTCATTTATCAACATTTCAAGTTCTCTTCCATTAAATAAAGGGTTCACCATCCATACGCATTTTAACATTTTGCCTTTTGAAGGCTAACTTCTTCAGATTTGGTGGAATTCTTGGGGGAAAAAAAACAAGATATGTCCAGAACGAGAAAAAAAGCTTTTTCTCCCTGGCCTTCAGAAACATATTTAGTGTCGAAAAGGATGTTTAAGTGTCAGTATGGCAGAGCCTTGAAAGGCAAGGAGGTCTGAGGAGTTTTCAAATAAATAAATTAGTCTGACGGCTTAGATCTTTCCTGGAGTCAACATTGCAGGTTAGCGTTAGATCAGCCGCCTTGGGTGTTTCTCTGTAAAGCTGACAAGTCTTTGACGGTAGCTGACGCTGTTAATGTGTCGCAATCGCTGTTTTTAGAGCGGCGGTTTAACTGGTGGTACGCATTGAGCTTCTGGAGGGACGCTGCTACTCTGGGCCTTGTAGCTCATAGAGTTCATACAGCACCCGGGTCAACAGTATCAATTCTTTCTCTTCTTGAGTTCGGACTTGGGATAAAGAAAGAAAGAAGGAAATGGAACATCAACACAACAAGTTGAAGAAGGGAAATGTCAATGCCCATGCTGCCCTCTGCTGCTGTCTCTGTGAGCTGTCCAACCACATTTATGACATGGAAAAACGGTGGGGAAAAGACAAAAATGATAACCAGAATGTGCGGCCAGTGTCCCTGTTCCCACCTTCCCTCCTCTGCTGAAATGTCCGTTCACAGAAGCTACCAGACCGTGCCCTCGTTCATTTCTGACGGAGGGTGGGAGAGGTGGTTGCTGTATCCGCTGCCGTTGAGGGGGATGGATGTAAAGGACGGACTGGGTCCAAAAACATCTGAGGACATACTGTGCAGGGGTCCAGGTATCCCTGGCTCTGGACTGGGCGAGTCCCCTGGGTGGTGAGACATGATGTCTGAAAAGCGTTGTACTTCACTGGATGGATGGTGGCCGGGGATAGGATGGTCCATGACCCCTAGTGGGGTACCGGTGGGTCCTGACGATGGAACAAAAGCGAGATCTACAGGAGTCTGAGCCTGCGAAGATGGGGGGCCTTGTGGAAAGAAGTCGTAATTCCCTCCTGGACCGTAGTACTCGCTCTGATAATCTGCAGATACACAAAGAATACAAGAATTTTGGTTTAGATTTAGAAACAAAGAGCAGGAGACAACTCCTTGTTTAAAAATCCATTCTTTGGAACAAATCTCAATATGCCACATTAGTCACAGAACATGTTACACTGAAATCACAAATGTAGTTGGGTGGAGAACAAAGCTTTGCTAATTACAGCAAGGAAGTCTTTGAACAGGTGAATACCTAAACAAAGCTGTTATTGATATGATAGTGTATATATAACAATAACTGCCTTGTTTTATGGATATGGAGTATAGGGGAATATAGGGGAAATGGCATTTGTACTTAAGCTAATGTTTTTTGAGGGAAAGTTTATTTTTGACAGTCAGTTTTATACTGTGGTTTTTATTATTGACATGTGTTTACCCAACAGCTACAGCAGGAATATGTAATATTGGGATTTTAATTGGATTAACCAAATTCACACAAAAAATGAAATTTATACTAATTTGAGGTTTGTAGACTAGTTTTTGAAATCAACATTTGTATACACTGATCTTTATCTAAAAATACAGATGTGTGTAATAGAACTTTTGATTCAAGATACAGTCCCTGTCTGACACTAGACTTTTATTCAGTCTAGTTTAGTTATATTTCACTTCTAGTTTAGTTATATTTCACTTTATATGTTATATATA